AATGGAGAGCTAATGAAGGGGTGCATGGGCTTACGGTATAACAGCAGCATCAGCAATTTCAGGGTGCGTGAGAAGCAAAGCCTCCAGTTCCGCAGGGGGCACCTAAGAACAAAATAAATGGTTTTTTTGTTTCTCTTCCAATAATATATACAGCAAATTGACGAATATCATTGTGCCACGTGTGTGAGGGATTCTCACCTGATATCCTTTATATTTAATGAGCTCCTTCAACCTATCTACTACAAAAATAAATCCGTCCTCATCGATGTAGCACAAGTCTCCGGTTCTCAACCACCCTTTTGAATCAAGTGTCGATGCAGTCGCTTCTGCGTTACTAAAATATCCTGAAAATACAGTTGTACCCAACAATATATTATAAACTAATTCACAAATTCACGTACAATAATGTTCAATTTACAAAAGATGATGCAAATATACAATTCTATTATTTTTGTGGCATCATCATCCACTACCGGAGTGATTTAATTACAATTCTATTAACATTTCTGGATCATGATCAACCGTTCGCATTATTAGTAAGTAATGTTAATGAAACTACACTTTTTCAACTATATTTGTAAATTATAAGATGAGTCACTAATAAAAAAATAAATACGACAATCATGTCTTAAAATTACAAAATATAATTTAAATTGAGGGTCTTTCATTTCTTAGTAGCATTAGTCACGTTACCATTCAAATGAACAACAAAAGAAAAATATTGAAAAAAAAAACACCAAAAGAAAAAGAAAAATGTAAGGCAAACAGTCAGCGGATGTAAACAAAAAACTTAAAGAATTTTCTTTCATCGGAAAAATTAGTAGGCTAATTGTATTGAAAGCGTAGACAAACCTTTCATGATCGTGGGACCTTTGAGCCAGAGCTCTCCCGTCTTATTCGTCGCTAGTGGATGACCGCTGTCCGGATCCACAATCATAGCTTCCATGCTCGCCGACAACAGCCCCGCCGTACCGTACTTGCGACTCTCCTCCAGTGAATCCGTTGACGCTCCGACTCCTGTCGATTCCGTCAATCCGTAACCCTGAAGAATTGACACCATCGGATACTTCTCCAAGAACCCCTCGATCACTTCCTTGCTCAGCGGGGCCCCACCCGATAACACCCACCTCAACGAACTCAGATCGTACTTGGCCTTCACCTGGTCGGCGGCGTTAATCAGCGCCACCAGTATGGGAGGCACCAGCGGCAGATAGCTGACACGGTTCCTCTGGATGGACAAAAGCATGTCATGCATCTCGAACTTAGAGAGCACGACAATCGTCGATCCGGAGGCAAGTAGGCCCGTCGCGAACGCCACCAAACCATAGATGTGGAACATGGGAACCGTGCAGAGGAACGTTTGGTGGTGGTTATCGTCCGAATAGAACCGGCCGATAACGGTCTGGACCATTGCTATCAGATTCCTGTGAGACGACACCACGCCTTTACTCGCCCCCGTCGTGCCCGACGAGTAAAGCAGCGTCGCCGTGTCGTCCTGGATGATTGCTTCCCTCGATTTCAACCCATCATGTTTTTTAATCGCCATCATCTTTCCCAAGGTATTCACAATACTTTTATTATCAATGGGCGCATCAATTTCGTCATTGATGAGGACGATGGGGAGAGGAATTGGACCGGCGAGTTTGGGGATGAGCTGGCGAGTAGTGAAGGCGAGCACCGGTTTGGAATCGGCGATTTGCTTGGCGATTTCTCGAGTAGTGTTGAGGGGGTTGGTGGTTGTTATGATCGCGCCCAGCGACATCACGGCCAGGCAGACGACCGGGAAGAAGATGGAGTTCGGGGACAGGAGGAGGACGACGTGGCCCTTTCGGATGCCCATGTCAGAGAGCGAAGAGGCAACTGAACGGACGGCATCCCATAATTGAACGTAGGTGAGTTGTTGGCCGGTGGAGCCGTCGATGAAGGCCACGTTGCCACGGTGGGCCTGAGAGGAAATGAAGGTTGTGATGTCGAGGGAGTCGTTGGGCGGGAGTGGTATGGACCTGCGCTTGCTGTAGAATACCGAATTGGAACTGCAGAAGCCGCTTCTGGCGTCGACCGTCGGAGTGTTGGCCATCGTGCCGTTGAATTTGACTGACGATTGGATGAGATTGTTTTGTTTTGGTTTTTCGCTGCAAGACTCATGGGCTTTTTATATTCAGTGGAGCTCCTCTGTCGGTCCAATATATGGCCTTTGACTGATTGCGTAGCCTCTATAAAGAGTTTGGTCAAACTCAAACATCATCTCATGGGGGTATTTTGGGCACACGTGTTCCACACTTGTTCATTTTGTAATGTGACTGGGATCTTCATTGCATAAACTGAGTTTTTCGTTTGGGTAAAGGTCCTGACTCCTTAGCGCCACACCATAGGTCCTGACTCCTTAGCGCCACACCATACATATGGCTGGTTTTATAGAGATTCAGATTCTATCCATTAATTAAGGAATTTTACATTTTATTTAGAATTTGTTTTATCATGCCGGAAAAAAAGAAAAAAAAAAAAAACAATGGTCAAAATAGCATTATCTTTTATTATTGTTATTGATACTCTAAAATTCTCATTTTACATTCCAAATTTTTCATATTTATAAAGAAAAATACATTTGTGAATAACGTAGAATATGATTTTTGGAGTGCCAATAACACTTTCCTTATTTTATGATAAGTATTTCATTAATCAAATAAGCGAAAAACATCATTAATATGGAGTACAATATGATTACAAACGTAACAAAACCTTGCATCACTTTCTAGTGAACTTGCAAAAGACGACGGCCCTTTGGCAAATAAGCGCTGCTATGAGCAATCACGAACATTCGAACCAGACTAATTTCAAATACTAAGTTGGACTGGTTTAGAATAAACTAAGATGAACTAACTTAGTTATTTGTCAGCTTCTCTACCTGCAAAGCCATCTCGAAATTTTCTGGCAGTGGGTGGATTTTGAATTTTAGGGTTGGATTTTGTTGTTGTTATTGTTTTGCGCTTTTTCTTTTCTTTTCTTTTCTTTTCTTTTTATAATAATTTTGATAGTTGGATTTTGAGGTTTAGGCAGCTGGTGGGGCTTTGTTTCAGATATGAGCAGTGGGCAAACGGTGTTGCATAGGAACTCTTGTAGATGACGCAACGTGTAGACAATGCAATAGGCAAACGAAGCAGGTTTGGGACGGGACTAGCAATCTCATACATATTGGGGGTCCTCACTATGACTACCTAACGAAAGACTTAGTCGGTGCAAGTCCGGCTTAGTCTCATTAATGATAATCCTTGTTCGCACAAAACACTAGCTAGCAATCCCGGCTAAGCTAGTCCAATCCAATGAAGTTTAGTGAGGACAAACAAACGTCCCCTAAAAACCTCATTTTACACTATTCGCGTGTATGTTTCTTATAATTAAACAAAGTTTTGAGTGAAATGAGATTTTTAGAATGTCAATAACGATTTCATATCAATATTAAAAAGAATAACATAAATTACACATTAAATGTTAATATAATACAAAAATAAATAAACTCTTGGGTTAATCGTTGTGTGAGTACTTTCTAAAAAGTCTCTTCCACTTTCTTTTTATATTATCCGTTGTTATGGGTAGAGGTGACAAATCAATCTATTGAGTTGTCAATGGTACCCATTAAAAACCATTTAATTTGACTTTACTTTACACTATCATCACCACCACTACCAATATCACATTTATTAACAATCTAATGGATTCATTTGTCACCTTAGTTATGGGTGATGAAATGTATGTGGTCACTCATATCATTGATTAATTCATTGAATTTCATATTATCATACTATATTGTGTGCTCTTATGACATTTTGACTTTTGAGATAGTCATTGTGTGTCTTATCTTAAATTCTCACTTGTATCAAAGATTTTTTGTTGTTAGGGAGTCAGATCCCCCTTATGGCTTGATTTTCTGTGTTATGTGGTCCTTCTCAACTGTTTAGTGGTGGCTTCGCCTTCCCCTGGCGGCCTTGGCTCTTGGGTGCAGCAGACTTGCACTAGTTGCAGGTGGTGATGGGTCAATGGATTGGTTTTAATTATTTTAGTTTATTTTCATTATTTTAATTATTTTAATTTAGTCCTGGTCTTCTTATAAAATTGCTCTCTGGGGTTCCTAGGTCTTCTTAGGTTTCACTAGGAGAAGTGACTGCTTCGTCTACAACGATGACACCGAGTTACCTTGATTCCATGTTCGTAGTTATGGGGACATATGTCTCCTACTGATACTATATGGATGTTGGTCCAACTAATCCAATTTGTTAGAGACATTCTTTGCCGGTGGTTTAGACTGAGTTGCATCGTGTGGAAAGGACTATGGAAGAAATGGTCGAAAGCTTTGCCGCACGGTTGGTGCTCACTGCACGAAATGGTTGAAAGCTTTGTAACCAATCAGTTTAGTTGGTTGAAGACCCCCTGAGTTGCATATTTTGTTCCAAGATAGTTCGGAATTTGTTTATGTATTGACATTTGAGAATAGGTCCTTTAGGTTGTGCGTGACACTATTTTTCCTTTATACCGGAGTGAAATTTCCGACAAGGTTTTATCGAGACCCAATATGCACTCTATTCTCAGTTTGCTTGTATTCTGAATTTGCTTTCAATGAATTATTGTACTTCTCTTTAAAAAAAAAAAAAAAAGGGCGCCATCAAGTATATTTGAAAAGTATGATAAAAATCCCTAAAAATAAATTTAATTTGATAAAAGAAATAAACTCTTTAAAAGATGCAAGCAAAATAAAACTTTGGTTTTCCTATGGGCCTGTCCTGGGTTTTCTTCGTAGTAGTTCCGATCCATACTTCATTTCATAGAAATCCTCAAAACGGCTTTATTTTATTACAATACTGTTTCAATTGCATTCACTTAATAATACTGTTTCAAAAACTAGGATTTTATCTAAGTTGGGCTTGCAGAAGAACTAGTCAAGCGAAGCCCACAATGGGAAGTAGCCTTGTCATCATGAGAAGCAAAAGTGGGTAGAGTTGTCATCGGGTCTGGAGCATTTCTTAATTGAGGGAGATCTCATTTTGGAGTCTAGGGCTAGCTCAGAAAGAGAAAGAGAAAGAGAAAGAGAAAGAGAGAGTGACCGGCGAAGATGGGAGGAGGACACGGCGAGGGCATAACGTATAAGGGAATCACGGTGCATCAGCCAAAGCGGTGGCACACCCTCACCGGCAAAGGCATGTGTGCTGTGATGTGGTAAACTCCGTCTACTCTGCCTATTTCATCCGTACATTAGCGTTGGTCAAATTTCTGCCATGTTGGATCTGCGTGCCTTTTTGTTTTAATCTTTTTTTTGGGTACACTTTCTAATGTTTTCGGAATTTCATGTTAAGGCACCGATTGTTAGGAACTTAGACCTGAAAATGCTAACAGGTAGAAACTGCATTTCATTCACTTGAATGTTGGGGTTCTTTCAAATACGAGTGGGGATCGATTGGTTAGGAACTTAGACATGAAAATGCTAACAGGAAGAAATTAGAATGCACTTTAATGTTGGGATTCGAGTTGGGGATTGTGGCTGTTTAATATAATGGAGCTGAAATATCAACAAATTCGTCTTGCTCGAGATTGAATTTTGGGATTTCCTATTATGGCCAACATTGGTTGTTGACTGGCGTATATAAAGCTATAGTATCACACATTACTTCGTTTTTTTTTCTTTCTTTCAATCCGTAAGCTTCTGACCGGTTTAAGGTTGCCTTGGTGCTTGGCGTTAACTCTTGAGCATAGAGGACAATGGTGTAACTGAATGTATATCGTTGGAATCATGCAATTTGGGATAAAGTTCAAGTTTGAACCTTGGAGAGGTTTACTATTGGTGTAAACCTCAGTCCCTGCATTGATATATTGCAGATTGAATGTATTATTCACTTTCTAAGTTTACTACTAACTTTTACTTATTTTTCTATTGAAATATTGCTTTGTGTATTTTTTTTTCCTTGGTGCATTTCCGTGAAGCTTACTGTTTTTTTCCTCAAAATTTTGATGCATCAGGTTTTGGGTACTGTACAGGGCCAAGAAGGATGGTCCTGTAGTTTTGGTATGTGCTTCTCTTGTTTCACTTTTCTTTGCAATTTGATATACTCAAGTTACTCACTTTCTTAATATGTTTTTTAGGGTTGGAGACACCCCTGGGAGGGCCACGAGGATCATCATTAGGTACCGTTTATCCTTCTTTGTCTCAGCTAAAGATACTTGGCTAAGTTATCATATATACTCATATGATCCACTGTACTTTGTTTGCTTTATGTGATACTTTTCATTCTTTGATCAGTTGTGATGTTCGGGGAGTTGGGTTTGAACTTATGAACTCCTATTTAGAGTAGAGCTCTGGCTACCGACTGGGTCTGATCAGTTGTAACCATGCTTACACACTATTGATCGATGTTTATATGCCTTTCATTTTAGAATTATGGCCTAGACTTAGTAGTTAATATGTGTTTGAATGAAGTAAATTGCAAACACATGGATCATGATGCCAAGTTTGGCTTGGTTTGATTTATGCTTGTTGAAACTCTGCTTCCTCCATGGTTTTCATTTGAAGAAAGGGGCCAGTAATTGAGTAAGTCCATGAGCTCGTGGACCAGTGCCTGTTATCTTTGTTTGCTTTCATTTAAGGCTCTCAATTTTTTTTGGGTGTTCTCAAACAGACTTTATAGTTTCAGTAACTAATTTTTCGCATAGAAGGAAATGTCGGTAGAAAGAAATAATTGAAACGAGGCTTTATTGTATTGTTGCAGGTTTCCTGTGGAAGAGCCAAGAGTTGATATCATAAAGGGCTTATTAGGCGGGATACTAGTGTAAGTGTCATGTGGAGCATCTGTCTTGATTTCGGTTTAATAAAGTGATTGTGAAGAAAAATATTGTGATATGAATGATGTTGATGACATCAAACTCCGTTTCAAAATGTTATATTTATGATGCTTGTATTTTTTACACACCTTGTGAAGTTGAAACTACTTCCCTTTTTCGTTCCATTTTTCTTGCGCTTTAATTGTTTTAATTTTTCTGCAACTCATCTTGAAATCCCCCTGGAGGTGGAAAAATAAATCATATACTTGTACGTAAATAAGTTGCATGAAATGTAGAACTACAATTACACTACATATTGGATCTTTGAAGCGGGAAAAGAGAGTTTATTGTAAATAATCAAAGAACTGGTAACACCACAGTTACTGGATCCCGGTAGGGGAGCCTGACAAAAAATGAATGAATCGTGACATCTTGGTTTGCAATTGCCGAGGAGGGTATTAAGTTCCAACAGATGATCAACTGAATTAATGAATGGGTTAATTGAGCTAGTTAATTGTTAAGTATATTGAGAAGGGCAACTCTGGTGTCAATCAAACGTCTAAACATGCAGTCTAACTCAGCTTCAAGGTCTTGAATGGCAATCTCGACAGCGTCCAATCTTTTGTTCGCACTTTGAAGCGCCGTCGCATCGCATGCATCGTACACTCGTTGGCGGCCACTCACACGCATAAACTTGGACATGAACTGGAAGGAAGCCGATGATTTCTGCTCCAGCCATGGTACGGAAATCAGGGACAAAAGAGTCTCCACAATTGAAACGGAAGTCGCCCTCACTTGACTGAGCACGTCTACAACTACCATAAGGTTGTGGTCCGTATATACTTGTGAAGAATTAGTATTGGACTTGTTCCTTATTCCTTTGAGAGATTTCAAGCACTTGAGCGTCTCCTTCTTTAGCTTCTTCCTGTAGCAGTTGTAGGCTGCAATCCTGTTACTTTTGTCCGCTTCTCCGCTGCTGCTTCCTCGGCGCAACATGGATTGAAGGTCTTGGAGATGTTCTTTCACGACCAAAAGAACGTCTTTGGAAATGCCGCACACATCCAGCATTCTTAGAGACGCTTCTGACACTTGATGAACCCATTTCTCCTGTTCGATGTCGTTGATGAGAGCTTGTTGGATCACCGGGGAGTGGAGAAGGTTATTGGCAGAGTTGTGTAGGTCTCTGAGAGCTTCAAAATTTGGGCATGCCATGGCCATTAATTCCTTCTGAAATTAATTGGATTTTATATGTAATTGAATGAGTTGATGGACAAATATGAGCGGCCAGATCAAGGGTATGTCAATTGTTGAAGAGTTTGTGGAGTGGAGATATAGGTAGACAGATATATGCAAACTTGGTGATACGGTCTTGTATATATAGCTGGGGACTTTCATTAGCCTGAATATTTGGATTTGATAAAAAACTTGAGGAAGTATAGCAGGAAGAATCGTTTTGACGATCAGTACGTACGGACTTGTGGAATTGTTTAGTTTAATTGGCAACATACGCAGACAGCTAAGGCTCTATTTGATTAAGGGAGAGCAAGAACAACAAGAGCAGAGCAATAGGTAGGAGTAATTTGACAGGACGAAGCTTCCTTCCATGCATATTCCATTTCAGATATAGATTAACATTAATCAATACAAAGTGAGGATATGTTACAGGTAGGTAAGGCAACAAATATGTTAAAGATAGATATTGTCATTGGTGATTAGACCACCGATAAGGCTGATCATACCATACATACAGGATACATGATACACGATACATGCAGGAGGACGAGAAGAGGGTGCCAGGCTGGTTCTGATTGGGAGAAAGCAGACATGAATATTAATACACAAAGATATTAGGCACTAATGGGCTTAATTAAATCAATTAATTAAACAAATATATATTTCTTAATGTTCTTAAGACTGGCTTAAATGATATCATCACTAGTTGTTTATATATTACAAGTGTGCATATGCTTTTTCGTGTCTCCATATACGACATAGTACTCAACACAACTACTGATATATTTATGTGTAGATATGTTTGAACGTGAGACCAAATCATTCCACAGTTGGGCAAGTTAAAACAAGAGAGCTTCTAAGAAGTTCAAGTGAAACTTCACGGATATTCAGATACACACATGCAGCTCCTCCAATTCGATCGTGCATCTGTACCACAATAATACAGATGTGTGCATGATGGAGCTGCATACGACACTCGTATATAAGAATGAACTGCCAATGACATTAATCACGTAATGCACAGATGAATACACGATAACTTCATATACAATATAATGTGCATGCTTACGTCATGTACATTGTGATAATGATATATGGTATATGGTTATGGTCGTCCAAAAAGCCCATAAGCACGCCAATGGAAACCTAACCTCACCTTAATATCAAATTCAAAACAAACTTAAAGCCTCATCTCCTACTCCTAAATCCTCACCCATATACAATTAGTGATGATATCTTTTAACAAAGAAAAGGGAAAGGGATGGGATGGGCTCCTGAATCCGCGCCCATATATATACTCTTCCAAATCAATGAGAAAATTAACAAAAAAACGACAAATAATGAATGAATGGATGCATGGATGGATGGCATGTCGAACACGTGGGCGCAACCCAAGCAACAACATTCCAATTCCAATGCTTTATCATTTTATGGTGTCGTTTCTTTGAAACTTTGAAACTTCGAAACTTTGAAGCAGAGATAGAAGAATCGAAAAACTTGTTCAATCAAAAATCCAAGTGAAAAACGGGTCTTCCAGTAAAAATTTCTAGAGAAAAAACACCCAAACAAAATATAAACAATTCATAGTTCTCAGCCCGCCACGATTCGTATTTTCGACTCTTTATTTATTTATTTATTTTCCCCATAAAATTGAATCAACTTTTCATTTTCCCGCTAATCTAGTATCTGAAGAAAAATAAACAAAAATAAAACTTCTTAATTTCGAAAGAAATAGCTGAATTTTTATCCAACAGATAACGGAAAACAAGAGGGAGAGGAGGAGAAAGAGGGAGAGACACAAAAACGAACCCCAGCCAACCCAACCCAGCCCAAGCCATGGCTTCCGCCACCAACCCCTTGCTCTCTTCCAACTTCTTCGGAACCACCACAATCCTCCACTATCCTCCCACCCCTAAAACCACCTCTAAATCCAAATCATCCCTCCCAATTCCCCTGCCCTTCTTCTCCCAGCGAAAGCTTTTCGCCACCAAAAACATCTTCAACTCTGAACCCGATTCACAGCCATTCAAATCCGCAACTTCCCAAGCCACTTTAGCCGCCTTGCTCTTCTCTTCTCTCACCCCACAACCCGGCCTAGCCATAGACAACACGCCCACTCCCACTCCGCCACCTGTGCTCCAAGCCCAGCCTTCCAAACCCAACGCCGCCTCTCCTTTCTCCCAAAACCTCCTCCTCAACGCCCCTAAGCCCCAATCCCAGGTCGCCACTGACCTCCCCGAAGGCAGCCAATGGCGCTACAGCGAGTTCCTCAACGCCGTCAAGAAGGGCAAGGTCGAGAGAGTCAGGTTCGTCAAAGACGGTTCTGCCCTTCAGCTCACTGCCGTCGATGGGCGCCGCGCCTCCGTCGTTGTCCCCAACGACCCTGACCTCATCGACATTTTGGCCATGAACGGCGTCGATATTTCCGTCTCCGAAGGCGATTCGGGAGGTGGCCTATTCAATTTCATCGGCAATTTGGTTCCCAATCTTGGCCTTTGCCGGATTGTTCCTTCTTTTTCGGCGAGCTGGAGGAGGCCCAGGAGGGCCGGGCGGGCTGGGCGGCCCCATGGATTTCGGAAGGTCCAAGTCCAAATTCCAAGAAGTTCCAGAGACGGGGGTGACTTTCTCCGATGTAGCTGGAGCTGACCAAGCAAAATTGGAGCTGCAGGAGGTGGTGGATTTCTTGAAGAACCCAGACAAGTACACCGCCCTCGGTGCCAAAATCCCAAAAGGATGTCTTTTGGTGGGTCCACCTGGTACCGGCAAGACCCTTCTGGCTCGCGCCGTGGCCGGAGAGGCTGGGACGCCGTTTTTCTCGTGCGCGGCTTCCGAGTTCGTGGAGTTGTTTGTGGGAGTGGGGGCGTCGAGAGTGCGTCGAGAAGGCCAAGTCGAAAGCGCCGTGCATTGTGTTCATTGATGAGATAGATGCGGTGGGGAGGCAGAGAGGCGCGGGGATGGGCGGCGGGAATGATGAGAGGGAGCAGACTATTAATCAGCTGCTGACGGAGATGGATGGGTTTTCTGGTAATTCCGGTGTGATAGTTTTGGCGGCAACCAACAGGCCGGATGTTCTTGACTCGGCGTTGTTGAGGCCCGGAAGGTTTGACCGACAGGTGACCGTCGACAGGCCTGATGTTGCTGGCAGAGTTAAAATACTGCAGGTGAGTAACTAATGCCTGGTATGAGTACTAGGCTAGTAGCTTAAGCAATTATTTTCTGTAAATTGCATTTTATGCATGCTTGTAAACCGTTTTAGTTTGCACGTTTGTTCGAGTTTAAGTGTGGTTTGAAGATGTTTTGCTAGAATTGTACATTCCACATTCTCTCAAGTCTCAGCTGAAGCATTTTTTATTGGCAGGTGCACTCTAGAGGGAAGGCGCTTGCTAAGGATGTGGACTTTGACAAAATTGCGAGGAGAACACCTGGTTTCACGGGCGCCGATCTGCAGAACCTGATGAACGAGGCTGCCATTCTCGCAGCCAGACGTGACCTCAAAGAAATAAGTAAAGATGAGATCGCCGATGCTCTGGAGCGGATCATTGCTGGACCAGAGAAGAAAAATGCTGTTGTCTCTGAAGAGAAGAAGAAATTAGTCGCCTACCATGGTATATACATAGAACAAGACCAGTTCTCCCCTCATATCCGATGTTAACTTGTGATTTTGCTATCATCCGATGTTAACCATGGTTTATTCATCTATTACGTGACTTGTACAGAGGCGGGGCATGCTCTTGTTGGTGCATTGATGCCGGAATATGATCCTGTTGCTAAGATATCCATCATCCCTCGTGGCCAAGCTGGCGGTCTCACCTTCTTCGCTCCAAGTGAAGAGAGACTTGAGTCTGGACTGTACAGTAGAAGCTACCTGGAGAATCAAATGGCTGTTGCCCTCGGTGGAAGGTCAGTTATTCGAACTCTTCGTTTTAAACTGCTTTCAAACAGTCTATTCATTCTTCCCTTTTGCATTTGAGCTGTGTTGAAGATTGTGTGGGAACTTGTGTTCTGAACCCGGTCTCCATTTTGTTGCAGGGTTGCGGAAGAAGTTATCTTTGGTCAGGAGAATGTGACAACAGGGGCATCAAGCGACTTCATGCAAGTTTCAAGGGTGGCAAGGCAGATGGTTGAGAGATTTGGGTTCAGCAAAAAGATTGGACAAATTGCGGTGGGTGCCTCTGGTGGCAATCCCTTCTTAGGGCAACAGGTACTATAATCAATTACTTACCGTAGTTTATTCACTGTTTCATCATATGCATATGGGATGCAAGAGAAGTGATGGAAAATGTATGTTTGAATTTGCAGATGTCGTCCCAAAAGGACTACTCCATGGCAACCGCTGATATTGTGGATGGAGAGGTTAGGGAATTGGTAGAGACAGCTTATTCGAGGGCCACACAGATCATCACAACTCACATTGATATCCTCCACAAGCTTGCCCAGCTCCTCATAGAGAAGGAAACTGTTGATGGTGAAGAATTCATGAGCCTCTTCATTGATGGAAAGGCCGAGCTATACGTTGGATAGTTGGATAGACGCTAGACTCGAGCAAATTCATGTATTAACTATCCCTCGGTGACATCATAAAAATGATGCATCACAAGTTTCATATACACAAGTACACGTTACGAACCAATTAGTTATCCAACGAAAAATTAGAGGAAAAGAATGGCGCGGTAGTTGATACACAAGATACAAGCATCTCCCTCTACCTACATATTGCACACGTCTGGACTGATACAACTTTCTCCTACCCCATTATACTTGATAACCCTACACTTCTGTTACAAGTTACAACAGCTGGAGCAACTTCAATGCAACAAAAAAAAAATTACAGAGCATTTCAGGATCCTCTTCTCTCCTATCATCTCCCTCTGCGACGTCTTTTTTTCTTCGAGGCCAGCAGCCTCATTCAGCATGTCGGCTGCATCCTTGTGCATGTCTAGCTTGGCAAGAGCAACTGCCTGCATGTAAAGGAGAAAACAAATCATTGCATTCATGTGGGGAAAAGGCAAGAAGACTTGCATCAGGTTTATTTTGCAACGGAGCAACTGTTACAACAAGGTCCTTGATATTTGGTCGCTCCCTGGGTTCATATTGCAAACATCGTGAGGCAAGATCAAAGACCACAGTTGCTTCTTCAGTTGAAAATTTTCCCTCCAGATGTGAATCCATTAAGAGAAGAGTGTTTTTCCACGAATCATATCAATAGCCTGCATCAACACAAACATCAATTCTAAGGAGATTCTGTTTTTCCACGAATCATATCATATCACTGCTCCGGCTCCGGCTGCATCGGCTCGACCGTTGGACGGTTGAGGAGTGCGGTTGGTGGTGGCGGTGGAGCTGAAGGTGTCCAAGCGGTGGTGCTGGAGTGGTGTTGACGTGCATGTATAAAAGACGACTCGCAGCACCCCACAACTCGGCCGAGTTGACTCAGTGCCGCTTTCTTTTCCTTGGCAATGGCAATGGCATTGCTAATTTGCTTGCCTGCCTGCCTTCTCTCCCTCTCTGTCTGCACTGGTAAAACCTCTCTCTCCCTGTTTCCACCTACAGTTGAATTGTCCTTTCCATATCATCAAAGGCATTTTGGTACCATTTGGTACGTGGGATGAGACGGTACGGAACGAGACGAGCCGTTCCGTCTCACGTTTGGTGTGCCTAAAAACTGATTTTTCGTTCCACCTCTTCCCCTAGAACGACCCGTTCCACATCCGTGGAACATAAATTTATAATATTTTATGACAAAATTTCTCCATATCTTTTTTAATATTTACATTATCCGTTCCGTCCTGTTCCGTCCCATCTTGTTCTGTCCCGTTCCGTATGCGTACCAAACGGTACATTTGGTAATTATCGCTTCGCATCCAGCAGACCAATCTCTGCCTTTTTCCTTTTTCTAATTTTCTTTTATACACACACGATATTTAATAGGGAGGTAGAACCCTTTCACTTCTGATGCCCTTCTATTTTGTGTGATCACGGTTAAACCATATCAATATTTTATATTATTTTTTTTATAGAAATAATAAGATAAAAAAAATAGTAATATAAAATATTGACGTGACTTAAATGTGATCACACAAACAAAAAGATAAGGAAGGGCACGAAAAGTGGAAAGACAGAGAATCTGCCTCCATTTAACAGTTCGCTAGATTTAGGCTAAAAGCAGTGTTTCATCCATAATTATTTTATGTTAAATATAAAAAAATGTTAAAAAAGAGATTATCTATTTAGATTATTTTTAATTATTTAAATAAGAAATCTAATCATCACCAAAGTTTTGTTTTGCGACTTACCTATTGGGGGAAATGGGGAACGTCTAAGAGATTGTTTGGATGTGTTTTTAAAATGACTGAAAGCGCTTATGTTGAAAATGCTTTTGGAACTAATTCTTAGTAAAATGCAAGTATATTCTGGAAGAGCACTTAAAAGTACTTCATGAAAAAAGCACATAACTAGTGCTTCTTAAAGAAAGCACTTTAAGTGATTTTGGAACCAAAAAATATTCTCTAAAAGCGCTTTCAGTCATTTTAAAAGCACATCCAAACGAACCCTAACACATTTTGTATCAAAATATGGATTGGCTAATTCACAAAATTATATACATTAAGGCAAAAGATATGTGTAAATGAAGAGTGTGTGCATAAAGCGAAGAACAAGTATACAAAAATCAGCTCCTATAGTATTAAAATATGCATTACATCACCATCATCACCGTCCGTTTTTGAAATAAATCTCAAGTCTGAATTCTCACGCACCCGTTTACAAATTTATTGTTGCGAAAATTGTTGTAGGTCGGATATGTTGTTATTTGCATGTGCAAGTTTGTACTCCAAATTAAGAGCTGAGCTTCATACACCTTATGTGCATGTATATGTAAATTTGTCCGACTACTTGCACCGGAGTTGGGATGACCCTCCCAAAAGGTTGTCACTAGTCAGAGGAAGCATGGAATTACTAATGGATAAACCCATTTGTTTTGCCTTATAATAAGCAATATTTGCATCTCCAAAATTCTTGTAACAGGTGATCAACATATATAATTGCATAATAAGGCAAGGCCAATTTATATAACTTCCAGGTGTCTAATCTTATTGCTAATTTGACGAGCAAAACCTTAAGCACCCATGGCAACAAAACAACAAACTAATCATTTGGTATCAGAAGAATTAAGCCAAGGTTGTCATTAATTCATCATCCAGATATTCCAGATTGCCTGCAGCTGACTTGCTCTAGTTCAATGTGTGCATGAAGCTCATTGTATGCTTGCAATGAGTTTGCAGTGAATTTCTCCATCGCCATCAATGTCTGCTTCAGATCCCACACTAGATCACTACTACTCTGTTGCTGCACTCTCTCTCTCTGTGACTCGTCTTCTCCTGCTCGCAAGCTACTCGAACCAACGTTCTTTTTCCCTCCTCTACCGCGTATCAGCTTATGCAATATCTTCTGCTCCTTCCCCTCCTCTTCCTCCAAAAACTTTACTTTCCTGGCTATATCTTTGTTTTCAGCTACCATCCTTTGCTGCACCATTTCTACATTATTATTGTTGTCTTCCATTAAAAGCGTATGTATACTAGTCCAGAATCCCCTGATGGCTTCAACAACTTCCTTCTCTGAGAGTCTATCCATAGCTTGTGACCACTCATTACATATCACAAAAACAGGCGGTGCTCCAATACCCTCGTCCGCTGTTAATTCTTGATCGCCCACATTCGGTTCGTGTAGAAGACATCTCAGAAGCCATCCATTTAATGCTTTTACATACCCCTTTTGGGCGACAATCCATTTGGAGAAGCACACATTCCAGTTTTGAAGCTCTAACTTGAGTTGAATTGCAGTTTCAGCCTTATGCGCGCTGCTCAATTTTGCATTGGATATTGCGACGCCATCTAAACCCTTGGCTTCCACCATTGCTTGGTACTGACTCTTGTGACATTCTACCATAGCTTTCCACATGTTGAGTAACCTACAAGCACATCAACCAGTCCACTAATCACTTTTACATTTCGTAGAATCAATCATTCTTCAGTGGTGATGGGATAGACGATAGAGTAGAGATACCTGTTGATGAATTCAATAATCTGCGGCCATAGCTCCTCGTCCCTCAACTTATTGATGGTAATTGATATTCTGTCAACAATCTGAATTGCAATTTTCATTTTTGTTAAAAGATCGCGGACTGCACTGCGAAGGGAGTTGAGTTTGGGAGACTGAGCAGCACTAGTAGTAGTACCCTTGCTATGTTCCAAATGTTTCAGCATTCTACTCTTCTTCTCGTGCGTAACGCGCAATCTTTCCTCAGCCTAATTATATATATATAGCATGATTAAATAGTCAAGATTATGCTTTAAAAAGTGATTAATCAGCAAAGCTAATGAAGGAAAAGAAGCATATATATACCTTGACTTCATGGTAAAGTTTCTTTTCCCACAGGAAGAGCGTCTTCAGAGTGTAAGAAAGGTTCTGTGAACTCATAACCAAGCCTTCATGGTCATCAAATCCATACTCTGCTTCTCCAACGCCAATTCGTCAAATTAATTATGTATTAAATTTATCTTTATCTAACAATCTGGAATAATATTAAAAATTGATTGAGAAAATTAAAATGGATAAATTACCCTGATCAAGAGAAATTGTGAGATGATGAGACTGCAGCGACAATAAAACTTGATTACCGGACTCAGACGCCCTGTCAAACAGAAGATGAAGCTCTCGCATCGCCTCTGCTGCTTCTGGGACAGTGGGAGAGACAGAGACAGACGGAGGAGTTGCTGTCGACGTCGCCATGTGAGTCGTCTTACCCTTCTCGGGCGACCTACTCTCCCTTTCCTGATCATCGTCAATATTTTTAGTATTGTGTTTAACATTGATCTCGTTATTGATTTTGTCAGCAGCGGCAGCAACAAATGCAGAAGTATGAGCAGCTTCTTCAGGAACCAAAGTAGTGCAAGTATAAAGGGGTGCTAGGTAACTCTCCCTCTCGTAGGCATCAAATAGATTAAGAAAATCCCAAGTGGAGCTGACCGGAGGCGGTGGTGGAGGAGGGAGTTCGGAAGTCAGTCTGCCGCCTAAATTTTTGAAGACCTCCTCCTCCCTTTTCCTGAAACATTGATCATGCACAGAAACTGGTGTCGGCGTTTCTCCCAACTGTTTATCGGTGTGGTCCTCTTTGTATTCGGATTCAGAGTCGGAAGGGAATTGGAGGTGCGAGTCTGATTCTGGTGGCGGCGGCGGTCCAGTACCTGCAGGAGTGTCATGGAAGAAACGGTGGAGAACGGGGCCAAGGGTCCTGAGAGAGGCTAAGTAAGCGAGGTGGGAATCGGCCAGGGCTTGGGTCTGGCAGAGAGCTTCCTCCAGGTACTTGCACCGGTCTCGGCACAATGCCACCGCCGGAAGGTCTTCTACCTTTGAGGCGGCGCAACCCATCACAACTCTCAGTATCTCTCAACTGGATGTGACACACACACGCAATCGCTTTACTTAATTACCAAAAAAACTTACAAGGCACCACCAACATTCTCTGATTTTTCTGATTTGGGTTTTGAGTGCGCAATTTTAGATAGATATGGAATGGCTTATTTGGTAATTTGGCATTTACTATTTATTGCTTTGCGTCTCTGGTGGACTGTTTAATTATCTTCCTTCCTTAATTGCTCAAACGGGGAAAACCTGGCGGGATAGGGCTAACGTCTCTTTTTTCATTTTTCAGATTATTTCAGTGTTGCCCCGTTTTTTTGGGTTTATTCCATCTTTACCGCGTTTTTATTTTCTTATCTTCATTCATACCCCCACGGATATGCGTGCGTTTTGTAATTTTCCCTTCCATCTATGGTGCAAATTAACAAGAAAAAGGCTAATTGAAAGGTCAAATAAATTATTATGATGTCCAATTAATGACAAAAATCATACATGGCAAGTAACCGTTATGTCATATAACCATGCGTGTGGAGCTGTGGGGGTAAATTTCCAAAGCAAAATTTTCAAAAAGATCTTAATTTTTGAAATAATAGTGCATCATAATTTTTGAAATAATGGTGCCAAAAATTAACAGCCATAATTATGGAGATATGATTTTCACACATTTTTTTTAACTTATGACACAACCCTCTTCAATTCTAGCTATTGGATTGAATAAATCAAATGAAAACAACAAACAAGATTAAACATAGGTGTGTGAGAAGCTAAAACAAATGTGTGTTTATCATTTCCATTGTGAAGGTATGAAGTAGTACTGAAGCTAGCTAGCAAAGAGTGCTGGTACTGTCTATAAGTTAGTCATGTCTTTAATAAGGGGATTGGATCTTTCACAAAACGAGGAGGAGGATGAGCTGTTGCAAGATGCAGGATATAGCTTTTGTATGAGCTAGTGCAATTCCAACTCAATCAAGTTTGGCTGTATTCTGTATGTGAATCACTTTTGTGATTTACTTTTGAAGTGGGAGGGAGATGACCGTGAGAGAGAGAGAGAGAGAGAGAGAGAGAGAGAGAGAAGGAGAAACGGAAGACATGGTCCCCTGAACCCTGTCCCTATGGCTCTGTCTTGGGTATTGAAATTTGAATCTCATCCCCATATCCTGGGATTTAGGAAAGCCTAACTTTAATCTATCTTTTTACGGTCATTATGTCAATATATATATATATATATATATATAACGATATTATATAGGTTGGAGATGGTGTTGTTTAGGTCACCGGTGCTTTTGATAATGAGTCATCATTTGGCCTGCGGCCAATGAAGGCCGGTCCGAACTCTCGACCCAGCTTTTTTTTTTTTTATTACAAAGGGTTTCGATCAAACGTTTATGATTGAGATTGCGTAAAAATTCAGCTTGTTACAGTTGAGAATTGAGATTGAAACTAGCCCCATCTGTCATTCTTGTTGTAAATATTCCAACATTAATTTTCCTTATATTCCTATATATGCATGACAAACTGACATTAGTATCACAGGTAAATTTACATTCAATTAATATCAAGTTGGACTTCGCTAGGTTTAAGGAAAACTAAAGACAACTTTTTAGGATAACCTACAAATTAACTTTATTATAAGGTGGATCTATTAATTAAAAGGTAAGGAGATTATCATTTCTTTTTAAGATTTTAGAGGGACGTACATTGGGTTTTGAGTACACTTGAGGGTTAGGTGATTAAAATGTCCGTCAAAGTGTGATGTTAATCCCATTAGAGTTTAGGATTTTAGAGGAGGAGTTTTCGACTTACATACTACAGTTAATTAAACTAAAAATATAATCTTTTTGCTTAAAATTATTAGGTAATAATTAGGGACCACTAACCTCGTTGTGTTAAAGTTGTCTATGACAGTGGAGAAAAACTAATGTCATACATTAATATATACAACGCACGTATAATTAGAAGAACAAGAACAAGTTAAGGGTATTACTAATTATCAATAATTCATCTTATCGATATCAGCAAAGTTGATTAGATCGAATTGCCGGATGGCGGATGCAAGAATCCGACATTAATTATGAATTGTTAAGATAATAAAACTGTGCAACGATGCCCATGCCAAACCCTCGCCAGCTAGCATATGCGTGGAGGTTTTGTCAGTTAAAGTCGGTAATAGTTAGTTTAATCTGTAAGAGTATGAGTATGATTCTTATAAGTCTTGGGATAATTGATATTATAAAGAAGTCTAAATCTGATAAGGAATGCAGTCTTGAGAGAAGTTCCAATTGGTTTTGGAAAAGAACTTTGTGTTGGAACTTTATAAAGTCTCATGAATCTTTATGGTTTGTATGTCTTTGAATCCTAGTCCAATTCTGATAGGGAATGGACGAAGGAGCACTATATATTTATGGTTCAAACCACTGCTCTTGCGATATTAGCTTATGTTGTTCTAAGTCCTATTGATTAGAAAAGCTATTGTGATCGTAAAAGAGGAGAAGGTTTTGAACACAGAGGCTGTTATGGCTTCTTCAAGTTCAAATTCTGCAGGTATGTTCTCGGCAATCCTTGTTCTTGTTCATAAGTTTTGTCACTTGACTTGTTTCAGAACATTGGTAATTCAATTGGCATATCATCGATCTGTGTTAGAGTTCTTACATGTGGTATCAGAGCCTAGTTGATTATTGTCATTGAGTTCGAAATTTACACAAGAATCTGATGGAAAAGCTATGAACACTTAAACGTTCCAAACCTAGAAAACGTATAACCTTGTTTAAATTGAATATTGGCAAAACTCATAACCTTGTTCGAAATTTTCTGGGTTTGCACTTTTTTTTCTCTTCTTGGTTTGAAGTTGTGATGATCCAAACATGCTTTGCTTCTAGATCTTCTCGTTCACAACCATCTTTGTTTAAGATTTGGATTTGCGATAATATATATTTTTCTTTTGTTCCCAAAGGTATGTTTATAATTCAAAACTCCTGATGTATTATATCAAGTTTATTGAATTTTGATCCTTGATACATACAAAACTCCTGATGTAATATATACAATACTGCAATCTTTATACATGATTGATGCTAAGATTGATACGATCCTGAAACCATTCATAAAAGGGTATGTATTTTGAAATCTTATTGCAATTTCTTGAATTTTGTTTAACATTTAGATTGAGTTAAATGGAATTGGTGTCAAGATTAGTTACTTATTCTGAAACCGTGTTTCTCAATCTGGGGTTGAGAGAACTTTTTCATGCTTGCTTATTTGGTGATAAGTATAGTAATTTATCAGTATACATCTCTCATAAACATCGTAATTCTGATTTTCAAAATTCTTGTTTCCGCTGTGTTGATTGATTATGATGGCAATCCGCATGGGAATTTGGAGTGATGACAATCCGCATGGACGATTCTCGAGCACTGATGGATAAGTAATTTCGTTAATTTGGAGTCGAGGAATTGCAATTGGTTGACGAATACGAGTCCAATGATGCATTCAGGTAACTCACTTCACTGTTTCATGCGTGATTAATTGTTCTCCTATATGCATGATTATAGTGTGATGAGTTGGAGCATAATGAATTAGGTCTTTTGCTATTTCGAGTATGCTTGTTTATTTATATAAATTGTAAAGGCATGATTAAACTCGAAATCCCTATAGATGCCAACTTGTGATTTATGTGAGATGTCTGGAATCATACTTTGCTGCATAAACAAATTTGTCTAGATATACTTTTCCATTTTTCATTAAAGAGTCTGTGTATATGCATTGTTTCATGTATGAATCTCGATACATTTAATTGCGGGGAGCAGCACAAGTGCACATCTTATTGTCAATTCCTGATTTTCAATTGGTTTGATTTATATCAAGTTTGGGTTGGAATGGATTTGACTGCATATCATGTGCAAGTCGGCAAGCAATATAAAGCAAACAACATGGAATGCATATATAAATGGATGCCAATTGCTTTGTGACTTATACATAAATCGCATATATGAATTAAATTTGTATTCATATCTATCTAGATAGCATTCGTGCATAGATGTTGTAATTATGGGCATGCGGCTTTATCTATATCAAATAGAACTTGCATAAGTTTCTCTGAATATTGATGCAAGCATACAAGAAAATATATGAACAAATGAATATATAAGGTAGATGTTTTATTGACCGCCTATAATGAGTCTTGTGACAATAAACTTTTAGCCATTTACAAAATATATATTCTATTATGAATCGGAAAAACAAATAATTATTTGTCATCTTATTGGAAATTCATAAGACTAATGATATGCAGTTATCATTATTTTCTCCAAGGACTTGCTTACGAATCTGTATATAATTGATGATGGTGTTGACAATGAATTAAAGGCATGAAGATTTTTAATCTGGATTATTGTCGACTAATCTTATCATGTATATATATCGATGCATGCTTATTGTATATGTATATTTGTGATTTCATGATGCATGCTGCTTCCGCTATTATATTTTGGTTGAAATCACAAATAGGGAGAAAGATGAACTTCGAGTTCTCCAGAAGAAATAGTAGTCTTGATTATCTCGTTTTAATCAAGATATATTGTTGTCATATATATCCAAACATTATCAAATTTTGGTTGATCTTGCTCGATGGATATTGAACTAGTTAAGATCAAATTGAATGCAAAAATATTGTGCTTGCTATTCTGATTTTGATCATTGTTGAAACTGGTGATTTTGAGTTTATGTGAGATAAGTTTTTCCGAATGGATTGTGACTATCTTTTGATACATAGACTGTTTTGTATAATGGTTTAGGTGTATATAACTAAACTGAGATTATGCAATAGGTAAGGAATCGGGAACCAATTGGTTCATATCTCCGATTTCTTTATTGACTGTGCAGTATATTCTCCTTATGCTTAAGTGGGAGAATCGTATGTTCGAATGTAAGCATAAGGCTAGGAGTATTTAAGCCAGCCATTATAATTCATATGGATGCTTGAAAACCAGATTATGGTTTTATTGAAGCAATTGGTAATTATTTATGTTACTTAATTTGTTTAAGTAATGAGAAGTTTAGTGCTATTTGCTGGAACTAAACTTAACTTGATATAGTGGGAGCAAATCAATTTATGTGTTTGCTCTGGTCAAGTAAAATCACATTGTTGTAAATACGAATTGGATGAATGTGATCATGGAATTTGTTTGCGTATTGGTTGCGGCAATTGATCACATTAATAAGACATTCAGTGTATTGCAATGACTGTTAGTTAATACAGTTGATATTAACTTATACTTAACTTGTTTGTGTTAAGTATGGCCTAGATAAGTGGGAGCAAATTGGTTTGGTTTTGCTATTTTGGTTCACATAATTACAATGTGCAAATTAAGTATGTTGTGACTTTTGAGTTAATTCTGCGATGTAACAGAAAAGATTCTTAAGTTCAATACTTTAAAATGCATAGGTAAGTTGTATGTGAGGATAAGCTTTTGTTATCCAAAACATTTGGTAATTTTTATATAAATTTGATCTTAGATACATTGCTATGAACATAAACTGGACATTGTGATTTGTAAGTTAAATCTGTATTTTGTGTTGCAGAGGCAATTATAAATTCATTGTTTTGGTTTATGTAAGCAGGTTGTGTCTATGTACTAGTGTGATGGTGAATGACTTATCTGATCACCTTTATAATTTGAGATGATTATCTGTTGTGATGAATCATACTCAAGTGAGAGAATGTAAGAGTATGAGTATGATTCTTATAAGTCTTGGGATAATTGATATTATAAAGAAGTCTAAATCTGATAAGGAATGCAGTCTTGAGAGAAGTTCCAATTGGTTTTGGAAAAGAACTTTGTGTTGGAACTTTATAAAGTCTCATGAATCTTTATGGTTTGTATGTCTTTGAATCCTAGTCCAATTCTGATAGGGAATGGACGAAGGAGCACTATATATTTATGGTTCAAACCACTGCTCTTGCGATATTAGCTTATGTTGTTCTAAGTCCTATTGATTAGAAAAGCTATTGTGATCGTAAAAGAGGAGAAGGTTTTGAACACAGAGGCTGTTATGGCTTCTTCAAGTTCAAATTCTGCAGGTATGTTCTCGGCAATCCTTGTTCTTGTTCATAAGTTTTGTCACTTGACTTGTTTCAGAACATTGGTAATTCAATTGGCATATCATCGATCTGTGTTAGAGTTCTTACATAATCAAGTACATTTACTTGTTAATATTCATCGGCTGCAATATCAACCCCAAAGCTTTATGCTATTGCACACAATTCTTCTATTAATTCGACGACGGAGACAAATTTAATAAATGGGAATTTGTATAGAAATTAAAAACTAAAAGTACACATGGCAAATATTAATTTAGACTAGGGTGAGAGTGTTGAGCAGTGAAACCCTAGCGTTGATCAAACTCTTTGTCGGAGCAAAGTTTCAGTCCCAGCGATGGACGCCTCCAATTCCCTCATCTTCTTCAATGTTACTTTGACTTCTTCATCTCCTTTTTGAGTTCTTCATCTCCTTTCTTTCTCAAGTTTCACAAGCTCTCGACTCCAATATTATTACTAACTCGTAGTAGTGGGTTTTCATGACAAGTACTTAATTGATTATTAGAAAACTTCATTTTAATCTCTAAAACAATCATGTTTTTAATAAAACCGTATGTAAGATGAAAAACTTAAAATGTACTTGACTCATGAACAAGAATCAAAAGTAGTTACGTTGGAATATAGTGGTTGCTGGATATGGGTTTTTACACATTATATATATATATATATATATATATATATTTATGTGCGGTGGACATAAAATATATATGCAGGACTACCACTATTATCATTCTGCAATCTATTATGATTAGTGAACAACTTTTCAAGGTATATAACTATATCTATTATATTATTGGGGGAACAAAAGATAAGCAAAAACAAATAATCAAGTCGCACAAATTAATTGAGAAGAATGATACATATACCATTACCACCAATATGAATATCATTGTGCAGTCTATAAACTAATCAGTGAGTGTCCAACTTTTCTTGAAAAATTATTTGGGGGAACAAAAGATGAGCAAAAACAAATAATCAAGTGGGACAAGTTAATGAACATGTATAAAACGCATGCGTAGTAGCACAACACTAAGTTATGTCGAAGTAATGAACACATATAAAATGTATGTGCGGTACCACAATACTAGATCATTTCGAAGTGATAGTCTAAAATTAAGCGTAATGGTACTGTTTTGTATGAATAGCACAAAGATAAGTAAAGAAGTTTAACACATAATTTCATTATTTGTACTGGATTATATAACTGTGACACTGTAAATCATGTTATACAAATTTTTCTCCAGAAAATTAGTTAGAGAGTGAGAGAGATTGATTTCGAGTAAAGTACGAAGTCAGGTGGATATGGACTACTATAGAGGTGTGCTTGTACATGCATGAGGATGTAGTTGCTCATGCATGGATGACAGAAGGCAGTTAGGGGTTTCGCCACTTCACCATAAAACAAGACGCGTGTCATACATATATTGATCGGTGGCAGTTGGAATTATGTATATAACTAGCTAGTAAAAGTACGACCACGAATAGATTATCTATTACTAAATAGGGAATCAATGGATCATCAGAAAATGGAAAAGGAAAGGGAGAAGCAGAGACGGGAGGAGGTTAAGCAGAAGAAGGAGGAGGATGGAGGTGGTGGTAGTCATAGTGAAATATCAAGGATGAAGCCATTAACATATGAAGCCTATGGCGGTGGAATGTACGGTAGAGAGCCAGATCAGCCTGCAAAAGAAAAAGCAAAACCACGGGCCAGTGACAGCCAGAGTGCCGACGGACCAGCTGAAGCCACCACTCAACCCCCCAAGCACACACCCCCACCTTCCACCGGCGACCGAGACCTTGATATCACTGGTCAATCCTATATTCAGTAGTAGTATACTTGTACCAATACCACTATATATATTGTAAGACCCTTAATCATAATCACCAAGACCAAAACATGAACTACAACTTAGAGAGAAATATTCAATTTATGTATATGAGAAAACACAGCAAGAAGAACATACCTGCACTTGTAGCAGAATCCGAAGCCATAGCAGCAAGCTTTCAGTGTACCTTCTCTTCTCTCGCAGGTTATCAAGAGCTCGACTTATAAATAGGATTAAGTCCAAAATAATGAGCATGTCCCTGTGAGAAGAGAGGCCACTATATATATACATATAATCTTTACCATAACTGATTAGGATTCCCTATCAAAATCCATATAGGAAACAAATTCTTGTTTCCTTGTTCTGATCTTCATGCTGTACAGAATCCCTCTACAAAAGGGATTAGCATTCCTTTTATTAACAAGACTTTTCTATCTTATTGAACACCTATAGCCGGTCCTAAAATTCCTCTATCTTATATTCACATTCTTACATTCTCCCACTTGAGTATAAGAACAGTTTAAGTACTCGGCCAAGTCAATTATGTTCAGATAGAAGTGATCACTAATCTTGTTAATAAAATTTCAATCACAACCAGCTATCATACATCTCAAAATGCAGAACGCTTGTAACTGTATTACCACAATAAAGCAAACAGTTTTTCAAGAGTCACAGACAATCAATTTGTATGCTCAACGTTGTGAACTGGATCAATATCAGCAAAATAATTTGCTCCCACTATTTTAAACCATTGTCAGCAAGATGAAAAACAAATCTTTGCTTCAAAACAATGCATGAATCAACAATTCATCACTAAATGCTTTAAACAGATAAACCATTATAAAAGCAACAAATGAATTATATCAAACTTTATTTTGGTCGAAGCAATAGATCATCATAACTGATCTCAATTCGATAAAATAAACAAAACAAAACTAACAAACCTAATACTCTCAATATCCAGCCATAAGCTTTTAAAATTTGGAATTTGAAACCTGTCTATATTACCGCACCAGCTCTCTGAACTTCACAGCGGCAAATAAACAGTCATAATAAGACTAACAAATCACTCCTACTGATCAAATGATTCAAGTATTCCCATCCGAGAGACATGCGTTTTAAATACACCAATCGACAATGCCTTAGTCAAAGGATCCGCAATCATTGCATTTGTGCTTAAGTGCTCCACCTGAATTGCTCCTTCTCTAACCTTTTCTCGGACCTTGAGGAATTTTACATCCATCAGTCTTGAAGCTGAAGTTCTCTTATTGTTCTTGCTAAAAAATACTGCAGAATTGTTATCACAATACATTATGATAGGCCTTTGCACAAAATTTACAATTTTCAAATCTGTCACAAAGTTTTTCAACCATACAGCTTGTTTCATTCCTTCAAAACAAGCTATAAATTCTGCCTCCATTGTCGATGTTGCGATGATAGTCTGTTTTGCACTTTTCCAAGAGACTGCACCACCACTTAGCATAAAGATATAACCTCCAATAGATTTTCTATCATCTACATCACCGGCTAAATCAGAATCAGTGTAGCCAACTAACTCCAATAGCTCATTCCTGCCATAAACCAACATATAGTTCTTGGTTCTTTGCAAGTACCTCAAAACTTTCTTTGCTGCTACCCAATGTGTCTCTCCTGGATTTGCTTGAAACCTGCCCAACATTCCAACTATAAAAGCAATGTCCGGTCTAGTGCAGATAGTTGTATACATCAAACTTCCCACCAATGAAGCATAAGGCTTATTTTTCATTTTATCTATCTCCATAGGCATCTTGGGACATTGAGCCTTTGAGAATCTGTCTCCCTTGTTTACTGGCACTTCACCATTACTGCAGCTTGACATATTGAACCTCATGAGTACCCTTTCTATGTATCCCTTTTGTGATAAATCGAGTAAATTTCTTGATCTATCTCGAACAATTTCAATACCAAGTACATAGTGTGCTTCACCAAGGTCCTTCATTTCAAAATTCTTACTGAGCATGGTCTTAGTGTCTTTGAGCAGCTTCATGTTAGAACTGGCAAGGAGGATGTCATCGACATACAACACTAAAAATATAAAATTAGTGCCTGAAAACTTAACATAGATGCAATCATCTAATTTGTTTTCCACAAAACCTTGTCTCGTAACTACTTGATCAAACTTTAAGAACAGTCTTGATGCCTGTTTAAGCCCGTAGATTGACTTGTTAAGTTTACAAACCATGTCTTCTTTCCCCTTTTCAACAAATCCAGGAGGCTGCTTCATATAAATGTCTTCGGCCAGTTCACCATTAAGAAAGGCAGTTTTAACATCCATTTGATGCAGTTCCAGATTGTAATGAGCAACAAGTGCCATTATGACCCTAATAGAATCTTTGGAAGAGACGGGAGAAAATGTGTCATTGTAATCCACCCCTTCCCTCTGAGTGAATCCCTTGGCAACTAACCTTGCCTTGTACCTTTCAATATTGCCGTGAGCATCTCTTTTGGTCTTGTAAACCCATTTACACCCAATAGCCTTGAATTGAGGATTGGAATCCACTAATGTCCATACTTCGTTTTTGGACATCGACTCCAATTCCTCCTTCATTGCACTGTGCCATAAGGATTGTTGAGAACTATTCATGGCCTGAGAATAAGTGAGAGGGTCATCCACATCACCAAAATCAAACTCATGCTCCTGCAAATAAACATAGTCATTTGACATTGTGGTTTTTCTGATTCTTGAAGATTGTCTCAATGGTAATGTCGGATCATGGAGAACTTCAGTGCTCGGATTCATTGGTGCATCATTAGTTGGAGTTGGATCCCCTTGTTGCTGTGGTTGGGACCCAAGATCAATTTCCATTCTGTCAATATTTTCTGGACAGTCTAATTGTTCTTCCTCCAATTCAATCATGGAAGCGGGAGTGATCAACATTTCTTTGTAAGAATTACTGTAAAAGGACTTCTCATTTTGATCAATTTCTTAAAAAATGAACCTGCCCTGCGATAAGTCTGCAATATCTTGATCTTCAAAGAACCTAGCATTGTGAGTTTCATGAATCCTGGTGTGAGCTTGAGGACAATAAAACTTGAAGCCTTTAGATTTCTTTGAGTAGCCAATGAAATAACATGATTCTGTCCTTGAGTCCAATTTCTTCTCATTTGGATTGTAAATTCTAGCCTCAGCTTTACATCCCTAAACATGGAAATGACTAAAACTGGGCTTCCTGCCATTCCAGATTTCAAAAGGTGTTGATGAAACCGCTTTGCTCGGAACTCTGTTCAGTATATAAGTGGTTGTCTTCAATGCTTCACCCCATAGGAATCCTGGTAACTTTGATCTTGTCATCATGCTTCGTACCATTCCAATCAAAGTTTGATTCCTCCTTTCTGAAACTCCGTTTTGCTGTGGTGTTCCTGGTGTAGTGTATTGAGCAACAATGCCTTGTTGTTCAAGATAAAGCGCAAACGGACCCTTGTGTTGTCCAGTCTCACTGTACCTGCCAAAATACTCTCCTCCTCTATCCGATCTAACAATCTTAATGGTCTTGCCTAATTGTTTTTCTACCTCAGTTTTATAAATTTTGAAATAATCAAGGACCGATGATTTCTCACTAATTAAATAAGTGTAACAAAACCTTGAGAAATCATCAATAAAGTTGACAAAATAAGAATTACCGCAAATAGTTTTGGTTGGAAAAGGGCCGCAGATGTCAGTGTGTATGATATCTAGCAAATTCTGGCTCCTTTTGGCATCTAACTTTCTAGAATTAGTCATCTTCCCTTTTGCACAATCAACACACTCAATTGCAGTAGCAAGATTTAATTCAGGGATCAACTGAGCTTTGGACAGTTTTAAAACTCTTTCTTTGGATATGTGACCTAACCTCTTGTGCCAAAGGAGGAAAGAATCATCACTGCAGTGCATCCTCTTAGTGCTTGTGTTTAAAACATGTTGATTTAGGGACTCCAAAGTACAATTCAGACACCACAGATTGTCACTCAAATATGCAGTTCCCAAAACACAATCTAGGTGGTTCTTCTAAAAAATTTTTAAACTTTCATCATCACCTAGAAAGGCAAAACCGTCTTTGACAATTCTTGAAGCAGAGATCAGATTTCTCCTCATTTTAGGCACATAAAGTACATCCTTTAGTTTTAGTATAAAACCAGAAGACAATTTTAAACACACCATACCTATAGCTTCTACCGTAACTTTAGTACCTTCTCCCACAAAGACATTATAATTTTAAAACCAGTTTGTTTTGATTTCACAAAACCCTCCAAAGAATTTGAAATGTGAACTGAGCAACCGGTATCAAACCACCAAGAATTCACAGGGATTTCAATCAAATTAGACTCAACACAGACATTGACATTTTCTACACCCTTACTTTTAAGATAGTCCTGAAAAACTTGACAATCTTTTCTTAAGTGTCCTTTAGTTTTGCAGAAAAAACATCTGAGTTTGGCAATATTTTTAGTTTTGACCATAAGATTGCTAGATCCCTTAATAGAGTCCTTTACTTTGGCAGATGCAGTAGACTTAAAAGAGGTTACCTTGGTATTATTGTTCTTACCAGAGTTTCCAGAGAATGACTTGAATGATTTCTTCCCCTTGTCTGGTTGCACAAAATTCACCGTTTCAGTTTCTTTCCCTCTTTCTTGCTTTTGTCTAGCCTCTTCTTGAACGCACTGTGCTATTAGCTCATCAACATCCCAGTTCTTGTCTTGAGTGTTGTAAGACACCTTTAACTGACTATATTTGTTTGGAAGAGCTTGAAGGATCATGAAAACTAACTGTTTTTCACCAATATTAACATCTAAAGAATTTAATTTCTCAGCTGCATCAGTCATTTTCAAGATATGGTCTCTGATTGACCCTATGCCATCAATCTTGTATGTGGTCAGCATTGCCATATAGTGACTGATTTCTGCCTTCTGAGATTCTTTGAACTTTCTTTCAATTGCTTGTAAATACTCAATAGCTAGTTCATGCTTCTTGATTCCATCGCAAACAGTATCAGTCATGGCACTTTCAAGTATAGAAAGTGCCACTTTGTTCGCTCTGACCCATCTCTCTGCATCAGCTTTCTCAGCCCTTGTACTTTGATCAGTCAGAATCGGCTTGGGAGTTTCAAGGGCTATGTCAATGTCATTGAGTGTCAATAAGAGCCCAATCTCACGTCTCCACTTCTTGTAGTTGCTTCCCCCTGTGAGAACAGGAATGTTTGCCAAGTTCATAGTCCGGAACGATATTGCAGATGTTGAACCTGCAATGAAATCACAATTTGAACTTATTAGTTCCTGATTTCATCTCAACATCACTTTGCACATCATGACTATAATCACAAACCCATATATATAGTCTTAATCAACAATCTGTTGA